GAGAGATGGCGAGAAAGAGAAGAGAAAGCGAGCGAGAAAGAGAAAGAGAAAGAGAAAGAAAGAGAAAGAGATGAGAGAGAGAAAGAGAGAGAGAGACGAGAGAAAAAGAAGAAAAGAGAGAAGAGAGAGAGAGAGGAGAGAGAGAGAGAGAGAGAGAGAGAGAAGATCGAGAGAGAGAGAGAGAGAGAAGAGAGAGAGAGAGAAGAGAGAGAGAGAAAGAAAGAAAGAAAGAAAGAAAGAAAGAGAGAGAGAGAGAGAGAGAGAGAGAGAGAGAGAGAGAGAGAGAGAGAGAGAGAGAGAGAGAGAGAGAGAGAGAGAGAGAAGAGAGAGAGAGAGAGAGAGAGAGAGAGAGAACATGCATCATGTAACATAATATTTTTGTAAGTGACTTTCAGTTTGCAATGACGTCCTTTTCAATGCATTCATCCCAAAGAACCCCCTTTTCCCTTTAGCTTTTGCCTACTAGTTTATTAAATATATCAAATATACCTCAACCCACTCCTTTTTATAGAACAGATATTACATAGATTTTTTATGACTAGTGTTTTTTTATTCCCTATAATGGACGATCCCCTCGAAGCAATAATGAATAATATAAGAATGTACTGGGTATTCTTTACATTTTATGATAATCCTTTCCACTATCACAGAATCTACATATTTTGGCCTTTTTACAGCATGCCTCTCCCTAACTAACACCAGTGACATAAACTCTCTTACTTTTAACATGCCATAGTAACTACATACATTAGATAATGGTGTTGCTTTAATACACACACGCATGTATACTACACAACCTGTAGTCCCCCTCCACACACACAGACACACAAACATTTATAGGTAATCTGTGTGCAGCTTAGTCCTCATATTTGTCATGTCAGTGGAGGCATGCACCTCATGCAACACCCCTCTGTCTGGGAACTGGACATCCTTGCTCAGGCTCCTCTTCCCTAACTTGTGGTCCTCTCATGGCAGCAGCAGAAGCAAGGGGAGCTCAAGCAGAAGCAGCACCTGGTGACCAACAGGGTCCCCAGCGCCCACCTCATCACCAACAGGACGCCCAAGGCGCTCCCCGTCCTCACTAGTGAGCAACCAAAGGAGGGGAAGAAGGTCAAGAATGGCACCAAGGTACAGGAGTTCTTGCGACCTTCCTGAACACCACCATCGTGTGTTGCTGCTCTGCTTGTGATGCCTTCTTGGACACATTATTTTTCTTAGGTGTCACTTTTCATTACATTTCCCAGTGTAAATTCTTTTTTTTCCAGATGATAATAATGTTTGGGCTTGTGTGTTTCACCATAACTGGCTATTTTCCATGCTTGCAGACTATGTTTGTTCTTCTGCCCTGGAACCTGTATCTTTCAGAAACTCATTCACATTGTGTGTGTTTTTTTCCAATTTCGTTTTTTTTCAGCTGCAGTTAAATGAGAATTGTTTCTTTGTCCCTTGTGTAGGTAATCAATATTCTGTGCTCAGCATCGTTAGCTAATGGTTAACAATGCTAGAGGTCTCCTTGAGTAAGATCTCAATACACTAGATACTACACAAATGTAGATCTTATATTCCTTTACGTCTGTCTACTGTTATGTTTGTAAAATACTTTGCTTTAGGACTTATGACACTTTTCCTTTTAGAAATAGTTCTGTCACCCTTTCTTCCTTTTAGAAATAGTATTAGACTCATATCGCATTGCTAATGTGTTTGTGTTCTGCACAATAATGAGATTACGTCTCTAAAAATGGTATTGTATCTGTATCTTAAAAGTGATATGCATATTTTCCTATATACCAACCTTTTCTCTCTCTGTTTTGACAGGATGGCATCCCAATGGAATCTGAGCGACTGATCCATGTCACCCCCCGCCCCCCCAAGGTCCACAAAGTGAACAAGAACCACCACAAGTCTTCACAGGCCACAGCTGCAGTCACTCCTTCCCCCTTCTCACACTCAAGCAGCCCTGCTGCTAAGCCCAAGGCCCACAAGCCACCCAAAAAATACAGCCCCAAGAAGCACGGCTGGAAGAAGTCCCTGCGCAAGGAGAAGGGCAAGGACAAGTCTAAGGACAAGGCCAAGGAGAAGAGGGAGAGGCGAGAAAAGAGGAACAAGGCCCTCCATCGCGCCGTTGTTGCTAGGAAGCTGTGAATCGACAGCCACAGATCCAAACACAAACAAAGGAGAATGAAGTCCTTGATGCACAAACAAAGAAATTCCTCGCTCTCTCACCAGATGAGGAAATGAGTGAAACAAATGCTAGACTAACAAATTCTAAAAGATCCTTCGCTCTTTTCAATCTTGCGAGCATGAATAGAATAAGAAAAATAGATGCCTTTTAGAGGTATCAGTGTTTTCTTAGTATAGTCATGGTAAATATATCAATGTATGTTTAATTGTTTCACCATAAATGTATGATATTAAGTGAGAAATCCCAGGATGTATTATCACAGTAACCAAACAGCAATCACCATGACTTTACAATACTGTAAGTGCTACATGAATAATTCTCTTGCTCAATTCTCCTTTGAACTAAATCTAAAAAATATTACATAGATTGATCATCTATGTGAAGGAATAACAACATATATATGTGACTAAGAAACAATTAACAAAAACAAAGAGATAGATAATTATTCAACTAAATAATAATCTGATTGATGCACACGTGACAGGACCAAATTTCAGAGCAGGATTCCAAAAAAGCATGAATTTCTATTGACTTCAAGATAACTTTTATTTACCTCCTTAAGGGGCAATATGTATATAATCTAGCGCTTTGATCAATTCCTTTGTAATGAACACCTTTCAAATTGTGCAACCTGCTTAATGAGTCACTTTCTTAAGTCACCATCTCCTTGGTCATTTTACTGTCATGCATAGCTGTAGTAAAAAGGCAAGTATAAAAATATTAAATTAAACAACGTACCTTTAAAACAAATGTTCTTTACGAGGTTCAGGGCAATAGGGAAATGATAAGGAGTTGATCTCTTCCTTGAGTGAACAGAGTTAGATGTAAGATAGTCAAAAGGTCTATGGTCCCAGAATATCTTCAGGAGAAATTGGCACAATTTCTTTTTTTCCCTTTGATGTTTCAGACATGGATAAGTTTTGTGAGAGGTTATCCTTCCTTTATCTTTTGTTAGCTAGTAACTAAGATATCCTTCCATTCACTGGATTATGATCAACAGAAGTACACTCTAGAATAAATATGGAAAAAACATTCCAACACTGTGAGGGCAAAAGACACACAAACAAAGAAAAAAATATCCTCTTGCTCTTCACATATTCCTTGTGAACTTGTAAGCTTCTACATATACTATAATAAGTAAAAACAGATAGACATTGTCAGAATGAAAACAACCTACATGTTTTTAATTTGTTCAAAATTAGTTTAGAATTTAGACATGTTACAAGTGTCCTGTATGGTAACTTAGGTTCATCACTCATTAGACCTGTGCCATACTTAAATACATTTTCAGCCCTTATTCTTAGACAAATGCTTGAGTTATAGTGTACATAGGACCTACCAAATATACAAGTCTGTAGATTTAGAGAGAGATGTCAAATTCCCTAAAATCTTAGATGAAATTCAAAATCCGACAAGTTTTGTGAAAAAATAGGTATTTTCTCTTATGTACTATAGCTCCCAGTGTTCTGTCCCTCTGTATATTATAAACTGATGTAAAGTACCAAGAGAACATATATACTTATAAGATTCATCTTGACAGTGAATATTCTTTTACTCTTGTCCTAACCTCAACATGGACAACATATAGGTTAAGCCTACCATTTACATCAGTTTATTTAATCATCAAAATGGCAGCACAGATGCATACTGGCAGCAACTTGATCTATGTCATTGTAGCTCCAATGAATCTGCGACCCTGCTACTTCATACTTATTCAGTGCTACCCTATAAAGTACTTAATTGGAGATAAAAAAATCATCAAAAGTCAATAATGCTATACAGCATCAAGAATTTCTGGTGGGTTAAGTCCCCTACACAGCATATGGTTGATACAGAAGAGCTGTTAAGAAATGCATCTCGTATGGATTGAGCATTCAATCAGAAATGTCCTTTTGGTAAATTCCTTCAATTTACAATAGAACCTGAGGCAGTGCATCTGGTGATGTGATGGAAGAAGAGAAAACAACAACAACAGCATTGGGTATTTTTATGATGCTTTACAACAAGAAAACAAGGATCTTACATTATAGTTTTTACCTGTGGATTTATATGTCAATCAAATAATCTGGAGAATTAAACACTTCCCATTCATTCTTTGTCTAACTCACTTTTAGCCTGTGGTATTATTACAAATTTTTGGCGTAAAATGTTCTTGTTGTGCTATTCATGTCTGCCTAGACTTTGAAGTCTGTTTGATAGAATACACAGATACTCCAAAGTGGTGTAAACTTTTTACTTAACCTTTTCATCGTTGAAAACAAGCAAACAATCCAAGCAACAACAAACCTATTTATGAAGCCAATTTCCTATACTGAAGGTCAGCTGCAAAGAAGGATGACAACCTACTACAATTTGCTAAACTGCTGGGTATATCGTAGACACTTCAAGGTTGGGTTAAAAGTTTGGGCTTTGGTTTATCGTAATGCATTCAGTAGAAGCCAGTGTTTTAAAAGCTCCTAACTAGTTTTGGCATAACACACAAAAAAGAGAAGGAAAAAAAAAAAAAGATTTGTATTTACATCAATTAGTGATGATATGTCAAACCTTTGGAGCAATAAAGTGTCTTTCATTATTACTGTGTTATTACACCTTAAGAGGAGAAAAACATAAAGGAAAAGAAAATGGCAAGCTCAAAGGAAAGAAAAATGAATGATCATCATATGTACAAAAATAAATACAAAAAAGTCCAGATCTAAATAAATAAACAAACCAAAACTAAAGTTAATATAAAAATAACAGAGCAATATTCAACAAAGATTTTACAGATTTCATCTCCTCCTCAATTTGGCTTTAAATAAGTCATAAGACATAAACAAAATACAATTTAAAAACTTAAATACAAATATTAAAATGCATGGAAGTTCTTTCCTGTCTTAAGGAAATACAACTTTATCAAAAATGCATTTACTCTAGTAACTTACAATTTCTGCAAATCCAAAATGCATTTCGTAGATTATGAAAATTTGCAAATCCAAAATGCATTTCATAGATTATGAAAATTATCGCAAGCAAAAAAGCTTCTAGTACATTGTATATCAAATCATACTTTAGTAGGAAGCAATAATGCTGAAACACCAATAAATTCAATGTAATCCTTTTATTTGGTTTAAAACATCATTAGATCTACAAACACAAGTCCTCTTCACTGTTGCAGATAAAGGAGATGGAAGAAGTTTAAGAAAAGTCAACCAATACAACTACCCAACCTAAAATAGCAATAGAAAAATATCCCACATTTGCCACAATTATGAATTTCATTCAGCCAAAATCCCAACAGAAGATATGCAGCATTACAAAGGCATTTAGTTGCAGCTTCTGTAATGACCCACAAAATACAAAAGAAAAACTCATGAGGGCCAGAACCCTTCCAAATATCCCAATATCCCCATAGGAAGAAGAAAACATGAATAGAGGGAGAAGGTACAGTATCTTGCAGTATTACCAAAGATCTCTTCAAAAGTACTGTACTCACCTCCTGTAGTCTGGGGATGTCTGTGATGGGCTCTGGGACAGAACGCAGGTAGGAAAATATCTCCATGTAGTCACATCTTTCCATGACTCACTCCATCTTCGCATAGCTTGAATATGGCTAATGCATAACGGAACAGAACCTATGGAAGGAAAATTTAGGATGTATACATGGGCCTTGGTTTATAACTGCTTACAAAAAGGACTCAAAAAAAAATGAAACAAAACTACTGTTAACTATTTGAACAGACATCTACTCTTCTCCTGTGAGATTCCCCTCTCTCCAGGTAAAAGAAATTAAAATATCAGAAGGAGAGAAACAGAAAATACAATCAAAATTCCAAAAATACTGATATATTCAATATGTTAATGTGTTTAACATAATAGTAAATAGAATAACTTTAAAATAATGCCCAATGCACCTCCAAAAGTACGAAAGTTTAACCATGTTTGAAAAAATCTAAAAATTATATATACATATATATATATATTATATATATATTATAATATATATATATATATATTAATAATATATATATATATATATATTATATATATATATATATAATATATATATATATCTATATATCTATATCTATATCTATATCTATATCTATATCTATATCTATATCTATATCTATATCTATATCTATATCTATATCTATATCTATATCTATATCTTATCTATATCTATATCTATATCTATATCTATATCTATCTATATCTATATTATCTATATCTATATCTATATCTATATCTATATAAACCATAACAATATATACCACATAAAACAAAATTAAAGTCAGCATTTCAATGAGACTATAAAAACATTTAATCACTAGAACAAAAACAGAAGTGCAGGAATTCCAAAACTAAGGGGGCCAGCTGTTTTCTTTGACTTAAATCCTATAATCACGGTTAACACAATATATCCCAATGAAGCAGAAGATCCTGTAATTAGCTTTAAAACATCTTCATTCATGTTTTCATTTATTAAAGTAACAGATTACCATTTGCTTTATCTTCTTGAATGTAGAAACCATAAAAAAGCATGAGGTCCAAAAATCCATGTAGCAAAGTTTACAAAAAATATGTCTTTTACAATCTCAGGTA